TCCTACCTGCAGGGAGGTGTTGGAATTGTTGGGACTGGATGGGGTAGTTGAGGGCTCTGCAGCCCTGACATCCCTTTTGAGGGTGGAAGACTCTGCTGGTGGGAAAGTTGTCCCAGGAAGCCTTTAAAAATAAACAAACACAGAGATTTAGATAAAAGGCCAGTTCAGAGCCTGGTTTGACCATCAGTTGGCTCGGAAAGGGAATCTGGTTTTACTGTGAAGTTTAGTCCTGCAGTGCCAGGCCAGTGGGGGCAGGTGGTGGAGAAGACTAGGTGGAACTGTGCTGCTCTCTTTGAGATGAGCCCAGATGTTTTTCCTGGTTACTGGTCCGTGGGGTTTAAACAAACTGGCTGCCAGAAGAGAGCTGAGCTCATTTGTTTAGCTTTCACCTTGCTGCTGCTGCATCCTAAGCCATTACAGCCTCCTGGACACAGGATCAGCTCCCTGAGGAGTCAGGATGGAGCCACTGCCATTCCCCACAGGGTTTGGAAACAGCATGGTGGCACAGGCTGCTGGTTTTGCAATGGTTGTGTAATGGCTCTGCAGAGACCACTAAACCCCCTGGATAGACAATGGGATTTGTGGGAGAAATCAGGAATCTCACACACACAGATTCCACAAAGAGCATGTCCTTTCTGTAGGACTAGACCATCCCTTGGTGCCCCTAACTTAAAGGTGATGCCACTGCCTTTCTCAAAAGGAAAAAGCAGCTGAGGCAGACGAGACAGTTGAGAAGGTGTGAGATGAGTGAGCTTACTGAGGCAAGTGGAGTGTGAACCTCCCAGGCTGCTGTTTCCCCACACACCTGGTGAGCTGTGACATTCATCTCTCCAGTGTCTTCTTTATCCTCACTCTGCTGGCACTGGTGTCCAGGCTCTTCCTGAGGTCAGCAGAAGCTCTGCAGGTAGAGCTGCTGTTGTCACATCCCGTGGAGCATGTGTGTTTGCAGTTTCCTATTCAGCTCTGGTAGCCTTTCAGCTTCCAGTGTGAGACAGGGTCTTGCAGCAGCTCCTGTGCCAATAGCTGTCCCTAGGAGGACAGAAGTGATGGGATTGTTCCAGCAAGACTCAAAGGACAGTTTTCTGTTTGACCTGCTCCAAGAACACTGCTTAGAGAGCTCTGAGTCTTGTCTTTCACAGCCTGAGGCTTCTAGTTTGCTCACAGTTTCTGTGGCTTCGTTCTTTTCTTGAGAAGTGGATGGGATTCAAGAAGTAAGAGCTGGCTCTGCCTTTTACAAGGGATTAAGAAATGCTTTTGCAGGCTGCTTTCCTCTTCCTCTATTGTGGGACCACAGAGTACCTCTGGGATCCTGCTGAGTCAGCACAGAACGTGTCAGGGGACAGCACGGAGATGTCTGCTTGGTGTTTTCTTTTTGTGGGGACAGCACACAGAGAGATTATCCATCCACTTGGGGTTTTAAACTGGAAGCCACAGTGAGTTCTGTGTTGACAACTCTGAAGGTATTTGGTGGGTTTGATGCCCCAGGTCCTGAAGTCCTGGGATTACACAAGTCTGAGCTTTCACTAAGTGAAGAATTACTGTTTGGTTTCACACTTGCAGGTTGGGAAGTGTGACTCACCCAAATAACTGTTTCCAGTGCACCCCAGTCCTGTAGCTCCCAAGCTGTCAGCTTTACTGGGCTGTGGATACCTCTGTCTTTGCTCAGTAGCTTTGTTCAGAGCAGGGTCCCATAGCAGGAGGACACTGAAAAGGGAAAAAGTCTTATTCCTTCTCTCCCTGCTGCTCTGTGTTCAGGTTATTGAAGGTCAGTTGGTTTAAATTCCATTTTCTCCAGCCATAGAGACCAGAGACATTCCAGATTCCTTAGATTTCTGAGTGATCTCATTTACAGCTCTGTCAAATCAGTTTGAGTCTTATCCATGCCCTGATGGATGTGTGCAGATTCCCAGCATGACAACAATCAGTTCATCCCCCTCTGTCTGGTGGAGTTTCTGTGCCTCTTGTCCTTTCTTTCCCTTCTAGAACTTTGCTCTTGGCTGCAGTGTCACTGTCTGTTTGATATTTGCACCTACCATTTGATTCTGGATGATCTCCCAGGGCAAATTTCACACCCAAACCTAATGTCCAGAGTGTGTAAGTGCACAGACATGCAGTGAGAAACCCTTTCTCACAGTCTCTGTGCTCAGCTCCAACACAGCCTTTCACTGCTGCTTCATCTGGGGTGGGTTTTGTTGTGGTGCTCTTGTCACTGCAGCCTGGGGCTCTCCAGCTTTGTGTGGCAACTCAGCAAGGCAAAATAGTGATAAGATGCAGGTAGGGAATCCACAGGCTCTTTTCCCAACAGAAAGCAGCATCTCCTGATCCCTGAGGGGCAGAACTAGACAGACCCTGGTGTGTAACTGAGCTCCTGAGGGAGCTGCTGGGAGAAGCTTAAAGAGTGGGGGGGAAAAAGCTGTTCCAACCCACAAGACACAAACTTTCCTTATCTAGCAGCTGTGACACTACAGACAACCTCAAAACTCCTTGTTTTACAGGGAATTGAGTTTGGAAGTGCTGGAGAAATGCATGTAGCCAGGAGGGCTCCAGCAGCCTCACCTGGCCACAGGTGGGTTAGGGCCAGGATGGTCCTTCCCATGGCAGCAAGACCAGCTAGAAGGTCCAGAACCAGGGGCTGGTGCTGTTGTGGGTTTAGGGCTGGGCCAGGCTGCTGAGCAGAGCTGTTGGATGCCTTAGTGGATGCCTTTGCAGTCATCAGCTTTACGATGCTGCATTTGGGCTCAGTGGTTTTCACATTAACTTGCAGGAGGAAAGGAAAGCAGTAAATGCATTCATTCCTCTGGCTGAGCCAGGAGAGGATGTTTCTGTAGCACCAGATCAATTTGCTGTCCATGCAGACATCCCTCTGAGCACACAGGTCACTGCTCTTGTGGTCACACTGAGTTGTTCCCTGGCCACAGGGCAAACAACACCCGTTCAGACACATCTGATTGCTTTGTCACACTGATATACCAGGGGATGCTGCTGTGCTGGGACTTGGGTGTCCTGTCACAAGTGAGACTGCAGAAAGCTGAGTTGGTGCTGTGAAACAGCTTTGTATCATTCCTTTGTGTTTGTGAGCTAAATCAGAGAGAAAAAAACACAGAGACAGAGCCTGGCAGCTTACTCACCATCAGGCATTTGAGTCTTGTTAGGAGAGACCATCAAATGGTGAAATTATGATGGCTCTTTCTTATATCCAGACAGCACAGACTTTGTCCAAGGTTTTATTTTTTTCTCTTTGTGGTGCTGAGAGTGTAAATGTAGAAAAAACACCTTCCATTTGGAGTGTCTTTGAGCTAGCAGTTCACAGTGTTGCTCAGTTTTGTCCTCTCCTATCCCTGCCCAGTGTTTTGTGATAGGAAAAGGGAAGTTTATTCTCAGCCCATGCACTGGGGATGTGCTAAAATAGCCCCAGTCTGGAGTTAATTAGTTCTCTTTGGAAATTCATCCATCCCAAGGCTAAAAAAACCCAACCAGCCTTTGTCTGCAGGACATTGTGCCTCTGACATTAGCAAGACAAAACATCTAATGATCTTGGTGCAACCCATTTGGGCTTGAGTGGTTAGAGTGATGAATTATGGCATTGTGCTGGGAATCTGAATCCTGCCCTCAAAACATGATGCCAGGAGACCTTCTAGACCCCTCCTACACAGAGCAAGGGGGACTAGACCAGAGAAATGCAGAAACAAAGGCATTGGTTCATCTCTTGCAAAGTTCTTCCTGTGTGGAGCTGAGTCATGGGAGTTGGAGAGAGCTGCAGCTGCATCCAGAGCATTGCAGTGGTAAGTGTGCAGGGCAGGAATGTGAGCAGGAGGCTCTGGGATGTGTTTGCCCAGCAGAGCCCTGACAAGAGTGTGGAGTGAAACAGCCAGGTCACATCACTCCTGATTTGACAGGTGACCCAGCATAGTGCAGAGTTACAGATCCATTACTGCCACCATCAGCTTTGTAGGAGTTTGGTTTGGAGTCTTGGGGATGAATGGGAGGAATAGATGGATCACAGAGGAGGTGTCTGCTGACTTTGAGTGTCTTTGTAGTGGTTTTCCCCTTTTGTTTTCAGTAACATTCTCTTTCTTTTCTGCTTTGGCAGGTTCTGTGTGTTCATATTCAGGTGAGTGACATCCTTGGAACTTGTCTGGTTTGGTGACCAGGAGATGAAATGAAGAGGGACCCTGATTCCATGGCATGCATTGGGGGTTTAATTGCTAACTTCCATGGATGTGAACCTTGTATGTTGAAGTGTGATACTGCATTTCTTTATCAGGAAAAGGTTCTTCCCCCAGAGGTATTTGGGCATTGAACAGGGTTAGGTTGGATATTAAGGAAAGGTTCTTCCCCCAGAGGTGTTTGGGCACTGGAACAGGGTTAGGTTGGATATCAGGACAAGATTCTTCCCCCAGAGGTGTTTGAACACTGGAACAGCTCCCCAGGGCACAGCCCCAAGCCTGACAGAGCTCAAGGAGTGTTTGGACAACACTCCCAGGCACATCATGGATTGTTGGGGGTGTCCTGTGCAGGGCCAAGAGTTGGACTCTGCTCCTTGTGGATCCCTTCCAACTCAGGATAGTCTGTGATTCTCCATGAGAGTTCTTTGTGTTGCTCTTGCAAGTCACATCCTTTTGGTTGGAAGGTGTTAGGAGATTCTAAGACAGATCTGAGTGTCTTCTTCTCCACCGTTAACCTGGTAACTCCATTTGCTCTTTGCTCCCAGTCCCAGCTGATGCCTCAAACCCAGCCAGTGTGGTGGTGTCTGTGTTGAACATCAGTGCCCCCTTGGGCTCTCAGGCCTTGCTGCCCTGCAAGAGCCACCGCATGGTGTGGACCCAGGATCGCCTCAACGACCGCCAACGCGTGGTGCACTGGGATGTCTACAGCACCTACTATGGGGACAACAAGATGGAGAGGCTGTGTGACATGTACTCAGCTGGGGATCAGCGTGTCTACAGCTCCTACAACAGAGGGAGGATATTCATGCCTGAGAATGCCTTTACAGATGGCAACTTCTCCTTGGTCATCAAAGGTACTCAACCAGCAGCTTCTCTGCCTGTGCTGTCTGCAGAGTGGAGGATTCATGGCTAACTTAGCTTTGTGGTTCTCGGTGAAACTGGCACTTTTGCAGCATGTTTTCTGTGAATAAATAAATGTCTGTCTAATGAGAAATTCTCAGGGGGAGTTTCTTCATGGAAAGGGTTGTCAAGCATTGGAATGGGGATCCCAAGGAGGGGGTGGAGTCACCATCCCTGGAGGTGTTCAGGATATGACTGGATGTGGCGCTTGGTGCTCTGCTCTAGTTGGTGATGGCCTGAAGTTGTGTCAAGGAAGGGTTAGGTTGGATATTAGGACAAGGTTCTTCCCTCAGAGGTGTTTGGGCACTGAACAGCTCCCCAGGGCAGTGGGCACAGCCCCAAGGAGTGTTTGGCCAACACTCCCAGGCACATGTTGGATTGTTGAGGTGTCCTGAGCAGGAGTTGAACTAATTATCCTTGTGGCTCCCTGCCAGCTCTGAATATTCTGTCATTCTGTTGGGCTTGATGATCTTGGAGGTCTTTTCCAACCTGAGTGGTTCTGTGAGGTTCTCTGAAGCTCTGGCAATCGTGTTTTCTTTGCTTTTGTAACAGATTCATTTTGAAAGAGAATTTGTAACAACCTGAAAGCCACTTGGGCTTTTTGTGGAGCTTTGATTGTGTTTCAGTTCCTGCACTATAAACACTCAGTGATCACTCTTCCTGTGTCTGCTCTCAGCTAAACTCAAATCAGCTTTCTCTTTCCATCTGTTAATACAAACATCTTCCTCACAAGAGCAAATAAACTGAATATGTTATTATATTAGGTGAATCAATTATTATATCAGATAAGATGATTTGTCTCTGTTTAACCCACTCTGGTGAAAAGGATGGATTAGAACTCTTGTCTAAAGCTCTTTTTGCATCCATACAAGGATTTGGGAAGCTGTAAATGACTTTGTAATCATTGTCTGTGTATAAAACATTCAATTTCCCTTCTTTTCCCTGCCCTACCAGGTGTTGCAGAGAGTGATGAAGGCATATACTCCTGCAATCTTCACCACCACTACTGCCACTTGTATGAAACTGTGAAAATCCAGCTAGGCATCACCAAGGAAGGTAGGTGAGGCTGATGGTGTTCCTTTTGTGAGGGACCTGGGCTGGCAGCTGGAGTCCAGTTGCCACCAGGACTCTTGGATTCACAGTGTGCTGGTTCACTGCAGGCCTTGCTTGCTGTTCTCCCTGTGTCAGGGGACAGTAGGGTGGCTGCAGGGTCCTGCAGGTTCAGGGCACAGGTGCCACAAGAGGCTTGGGAAGCATCAGCAGATGTGGTGCTCACTGTGCTGTTTGCTGTCCATTTCCCTGAGCTTCAGAGACTTTATTCAGGGTGTGTATTTATGAACCTCTCTCCTTTCTTGGCATGTGCCAAACAGTGCATGGAGCCAGTTAAATGTTTACTCTGGTCAGCCCAGTTAGCAAATGTCCTGTTGCTGCTCCAGCAGTAGAACATCCCTGGTAAGAGTCCATCATCACTCAGGTTAGCCACAAAGCTCTGCCTTGTGCATTGGCTGCTGAGCTTGCCCTGAGCAGTCTGTACTTAAAAACCCACCTCAAGTCACCACACCTTCAGTGCAGCCCTGAAAGCAAACTGCTGGCAGCTGCAGTGTGTGCCACCCATGCCACACAGGCACCACCACCATCTCATTTCAATCAGCCTGACAAGTGAAGCTGCTGGGGCTGGTTGTGCTGGGAAGCTGTTGGAGGACTGGGTGGGATAGGAGAGAGGTCCATCTCCTCTGCTGCTGCTCTCACAGCTTCAATGCAATAAAAACACCCCAATCTGCTCCTCTGTGTTTTGGTTCTCCTGTTAGTCCTTCTCAAGAGCAAAATCCAGAGCAGTTCTGCTCCAACTCCTCCAGTAATTAGGGCGTTTGTGGGTAGAAAAGCATTTCCTGCCTGGAGGATTGGGATGCAGCATATTGAAGAGCCTCGTTCCATTCTTAGTTTGTGGAGAGAATACACTTCCTGCTTTCTGCAGCAGGAGATTAACTCTCAGTTAGAAGGAGAAGAAATTGGCCTTGCTTAAAGCACTGACCAAGGATGTAGAAGATAAAGCTGGATATAACCTCCTCAGGAAGGGAAGTGGAGGGACACTGAACTCTTCTCTTTGGTGACCAGTGGCAGGACCTGAGGGAATGGCCTGAAGTTGTGTCAGGGGAGGGTTAGGCTGGTTATCAGGACGAGGTTCTTCCCCCAGAGGTGTTTGGGCACTGAACAGCTCCCAGGGCAGTGGGCACAGCCCCAAGGCTGACAGAACTCCAGGAGTGTTTGGACAACACTCTCAGGCACATGGTGCATTGTGGGTGTCCTGGGCCAAGCATTGAACTAGATGATCCTTGTCCCTTCCAACTTGAAAATTCTGTGATTCTCTGTGGTTCTGTATCTCTTTACTAACTGCTGAAGGCAGTGTGAACAGGCCCTGTGGCACTCCCAGGTTCCTGGAGACTTGCAGGGTCTGAGAGCACCCTTAGGTGTGCCTGGGTGTCCTTAGGTGTGTGAAGCTGCACTCCAAGGCCGTCATTGAACTAGATGATCCTTGTCCCTTCCAACTTGAAAATTCTGTGATTCTCTGTGGTTCTGTATCTCTTTACTAACTGCTGAAGGCAGTGTGAACAGGCCCTGTGGCACTCCCAGGTTCCTGGAGACTTGCAGGGTCTGAGAGCACCCTTAGGTGTGCCTGGGTGTCCTTAGGTGTGTGAAGCTGCACTCCAAGGCCGTGTTGTCTCCACAGCTGAGGAGGTCAGTGAGTACTGGGACGGGGAGAAGCCTGTGATCGTGGCCCTGAAAGGCAGCACAGTGATGCTTCCCTGCGTGAATCGTGACCACATCTGGACAGAACGGCACAGTGAGGAGGAGCAGCAGGTGGTGCACTGGGACAGACAGCCCCCAGGGGTTCCCCACGACCGCGCCGACCGCCTCATCGACCTCTACGCGTCCGGCGAGCGCCGCTCCTACGGCCCTCTGTTCCTCAGGCAGAAAATGAACATCACCGACACGGCCTTCGCCCTGGGGGACTTCTCCCTGAGGATCTCAGAGCTGGAAAGTGCAGATGAAGGCACTTACTCCTGCCACCTGCACCATCACTACTGTGGCCTGCACGAGCGCAGGATCTACCGAGTCTCCGTGACGGAGCCGGTGAGGGAGAAGAAGGTGGTGAACCTCACAACTCACAACATCGCTCCGGCTGTAGGTGAGTGCCCTCTGCAAGTGGCTCTCCTGGTTGGGGAAGAGCTAAGTATCTACAGTTGCACTTCTGGGCTCTGAAGAGCTCAGCCAGCCTGGCTCTGTGTCTGGGCTCAGATGTTTCCAAGCTGTTTCCATGACCTTGGTCCACCTGGAGCTGCACACAGGCCATGGCAGTGAGGGATCCTGTGCAGCAGGAGTGGAGAGTCCCATCCATCAGGGTCAGTCACCTTCTTGCAGTGCTGTGAGGACATCAGGCCAGCTTCTGTTTTCTTTGCTCCAGGGCAATTGCTTGGAGAAGGTTGTGTGGAGACCTCAGAGCAACTTCCAGGAGCTGAAGGGGCTCCAGGGATGCTGCAGAGGGATCTGTGTTAGGAGCTGCAGGGACAGGACAAGGAGGAATGGGGAGAAATGGGAAGAGGGAAATTTAGATGAGATCTTAGGCAGAAGTTTTCCCTGGGAGGGTGGTGAGACACTGGCACAGGTTGCCCAGGGAGGCTGTGGTTGCCCCAGCCCTGGCAATGTTCATTCCAGGTTGGATCAGCCTTGATCAACCTGCTCTGGTGGGAGATGTCCCTGCCCAGGGCAGGGGGTTGGGGCTGGATGTTCTCCAAGGTCCATTCCAAGCCCTTAACACACTATGATCCAATCCTGCAGTGCTGACAGGCCCTGAGGCAAAGGAGCTGTTCCTGCTCCAGGCTCCCTGTCCTCACTGCTCCCACGGCTCTGGAGAAGGTGTGTGCAGGGGGTTGGTGCTGCTCTGCCTTTGCTGTTACAACATGTCACTACTGTGTTTCTTTCCCCTTTGCACGGGTGTTTGTGCTGTGCAAGATGCCAAACCATGCAGGACCAGGAATTTCCCTCCACCCTTCAGCTTTGCTTTTTTTTTTTTATGTGTGTGTCTTAAACCAATTTTCATATTTTCCTCTGCAGTGAGCTCTCATCTGACAGCCTGTCCAAGCTCCAACCCATCAGGCTTTGCTCAGGCTGGAAAAGAAAATAAAACCCCCCCAAGTTTAATATTATTTTAAAGTCTTTAGGGTATAGTTCTTGATTAACATTTTAAAATATTCATTGTGGTTTAATATTTATTGCCTGTTTAATATAGAATTTTGATTTGCTTCATACATTTTTAACCAGACCTATTCTTCTTTAGAATTGGCTTCTGCAAGTCACAGAAACCTTAAGGCTCTCCCATGGGACTGAGGTTGGTGTCCAGAGAGCCCAGACAGGGCTGAGGAGAGGCTGATGTTGGGGCTGAGCTGACAGGGAGCCCAGGACACACAGACCCCACTGCTTTGCTGCAGCCCTTGAGCATTATCCACATCACCTTGTGTAGATGGAAACTAGATCTTGTTTGCAGGAATTTATTCCTCTCTTTCCTGGCTGTTGTTGCTGAATTGTTCCCTACCTGCTCAGAGGTTAGATGGAGCCTACAAGTAATTTAACCTGCCAGGGTTGGCTGAGTTTGCCAGCAGTGCCCTGAGTGCTGGAGGAATTTTCCTCTCTGGGAAAAGCCATTTGCAGTGTCCAAAAGAGCAGCCTTGGAAGAGCTTTGTCCCCTCTGGGCAGTGAACTCTCAGCTGGGCTGAGAGCACCACACACAAAAATGTGCTGAGTCCATGGGAATGTGCAAGAGATATCCAGAGTGCCTTTTCCAACCCACTGCTGGGATGTGCCCTGTTGGTGTGTAGCAGGAAAAGCTGAGGGATTGCCCCATTCCATGGAAAACTGGTTGGAATTCTTCTGGGGAACAGGACATCAAGCCAAAATGAACCATCAGGAGATAACAGAAACAAAAACAATGAGCTTTTTCAGCAAGCAGCTATAGTTTCTGGCATTGCTGCAAGGCCTGAAGCCATTTCCAGACAGGAAATTTCATCCTGTTTGGAATTTAAGCAGGAGCTCCATTCTGCTCTCAGGCTCAGGGTGTAACTAGTGTTAGTCTACTAACTCAGAGCACTTTTACTCAGCGTTTGCTTTGGAGCAAGGAGTTGGAGAATGGCATCACTCAGATCTGCTGCTGGCATTAGCAAACAATATCTCTGGTCTCACAGTGCTTTCTGTCCCCTCTGATTTGATTTTATTGTTGCTGGGTTGGTGTTTTCAAACACTGGAAACAAACTCCCTGCCAAACTGGGCCCAGTCAGTGTGCCAGCACTGCCCAAAATGTCAGCATTCCTCACAGTAACATCTGGTACATGGGGCTGTGACTTTTGGAGGTAATTCCCCCCATCCTTCCCCTTATTCCCTCTGACTGATTTGCTGGGGGAACTCCCCAGGGAATGCTAAGTCAGAACTCCCTCCTGGTCCTTGCCTGATGCTCTGTGAATGTTCCATCAGGGGATGAAGGTGCCATTTCAGCTCTGTTTTGAAAAGAAAAAACCTCTCCCAGCACATTCTTATGGGTTTCCAGTCTGTGCCTGGGCTGGATTTGTCCATTCCTGTGCCTGTTGCAAGCAGAGCCTTCACTTCCTCTTTATATGTGTAAAACATTGACCTATTTATTTGAGATCTACAAAAATGTTCCACGTACAAGTCTGGGACCTCCTTTTTCCCCTATGCTGTGGAGCTGAAATGCTGCTGCACCCATAGCTGGAATGGAATCTTGGCCTTTCTTTATGGGATTTTTTTTTGGGGGGGGCTTTATTTACTTTATTGATTTTTTTTTTTTTTTAATTTGATTTCAAAGGAATCTCATTCTATGGCATTGAAAATTCCTCCCACCCTGTAAATTAGAAGCCTTGGCAGGGAGGAGCTGCTTCATACTTTGGCTGCCTGGAGCTGGAGCAGTGTGGGGTGTGTGTGTTGTGAGGGACCCAGGGGAGGGTTGTGATACCCTCTGAAGGTTTTGGGACTGGTTTGGTGACTTCTCTCTGCACTTCCCCTCTGCAGTGAGCAAGAACTCCCTGAGGCACAGGCAGCAAGAAGGAATGTGCCACTGTTCATGCTCCCTACTCCTGGGAATCATGGGCTTGGGAAGAGCACAGGCATCTGCCACCTGCCAGAGGTGCAGTGTGGTGTAAATCAAGCAGTAATTGCCTTTTACTCTGCAGCTCAGAGGAGTTTCTCACCTCTCAGGTCCAGGAATGAACCCACACATGAACCTGCTTCGGGTGCCAAATACAACGATCAACCTGTTTTCCTTCTTTGCTTTCAGATCCAAACGTTGTCAGGGGCCACAATGTCATAAATGTCATCATCCCTGAGAGCAGGATGCACTTCTTCCAGCAGCTGGGCTACATCCTGGCAACTCTGCTGCTCTTCATCGTCCTCCTCATCGTCGTCGTCCTCGTCACCCGCAAGCGCCGGCAGAGAGGTGAGGGCCAGGGAAAACCATCCCTGTGGGGATATTCCTGGGGCAGCAGGGGGGATTCCACAACTAATTCCTGCAGAACACTGTGCTCAGGGCAGTGATTCTCTCCTGGATGCAACTGCTCATTCTGTTCCTTCTCCCTGTTTAGGTTATGAATACAACGTGAAGAAATATGGAGAGTAAGTATAAGTACAGAGTTTATTACCTACGATCAGAATGTGTCAAAATGAACTGATGGCCCCAACCCTCAGCTGAGGATCTGGTTAGGAGGGAAAAGCAGAAGGAAAAAATGGTTTGTAGGGTTGATTTGGCAATTCGTTTCCTCTTATTCTACTTTGGGAACTGGTTTCACAGTTCCAGGTTTCTGTGGGATGTCATTAGGAGTTGGTGTTGAGGAGTAATCCACAGATGTGGTGTAAACCCTCTGTGAGGTGAGGTCAGCACTGGGGTTATTACACCTTGTGAAAGTGGAAGAGATGGGGAAGTTCCAGTACTGATTGGCTGGTCCTTGTTCTAAACTCTGGACAAACACATGGGGAAAAAAGACATCCAGGTATATTGCAACTATTCACTGTAAATACAGCAAATAGCCACTGTAAATTAAACAATCTAAAGTAACATCAGAAAAATCTGTTGTGAAAAAGTGTGAAAGGAGCCCAGTGGTTAAAGCATGTGACAACACCATTTTCCACTGCTGTTCCCTTTTCAGAAAGGATGTGAATCTGAAAGAATTTACAGTAGACACAACAGATCTGACTCCACACAAAAGTGAAGACATCAGGCTGGGTAAGTATCAGCTACTAACCATATCCCAACTCCTCAGAGGTGCCAGACCTAGAGTAGAAGGCCTGAGCACATCTGTCTTCCCTGTAAAACTATTTCCATATTCTGATGTCTGAATGTTGCTCCTCCCTCACACAGATTACAAAAACAACATCCTGAAGGAGAAGGCTGAGCAAGCCAGAAGCTTCCCAGCAAAGAACATTGATTTAGACAAAGGTAATAATGACTTGCTTGCCCCTAATTAGTGCCTGGAGGAACCTTCTGATGGGCAGCAGGAGGGAGGGACACAGTTCAGCACTGAGCTGACCAAGCCACAGCTTGAGGAATGATAAACACCATGGC